CGATCCCAATACGAAGTTCGCGAACATCAGGGATATCCATCGGGCTCAAATCGAAGCGGGTGAAAAGGAGGTTATCACGGCTGAATCCAGCGACTCTGAATGCCCTAGTGAGGCTGGCAGCTGTATTGTAGTGGGTGTGGTTGAGGATCAATAGTTAATAGTAATGAGGAGGTTGGGTTGTGATCCCATCGTTTTTGTGGTGCCAGAAACAGGGGGGTGCCAGGAAGTGGGTATGTTGACTTATGGTTTCCAGCCTTTTGAGTAAAGCTCGCCAAGGGCCCTAGCGACCTCGTTCATGGCCGCCGTCCCACTCACTGGGTCGATAGCTCCACAGCACCAAGAATCATGGTGATTACCAAGAACGATGCTCTCTTCAGTGGTCCCACGTATGGTCCCGATAACGTTGTAGATCGGGGCGTATTTGTAAGTGCCTGGGAATATAGTCAGAAATTTTGCCTGGTTTCCGGACAGCTTGAGATCAAAATTGCTCACCTTGGTTCGATAGAAAGACTCTGGCTTGGCTAGGGCCACTACAATAGTCCACTGCCGGAAGACATCCTTTCCAGTCGCTGTGCTCACCGGCTATCTGACTAGGTATAAGTCCATGGCCGTTCAATGCCTGAAGGAAAGGAATAGCATCCGCATAAGAGATTGGCAGAGATGGTATCCTTGGGGTTGCGTGACCAGGATCCTGTCGTTCAAGGTCGGTGTCTGGCAAACTGGGGTACCCGGGTGTCGTGGGGTCACCCACGGCCACGGAGAAGAAGTCGACGCTGCCTCGCTGAATTGTTTTGGGATGCCTTGCTGGACCGTGAGGGTAAGGCTCATAGCCATTCTCAACAGTGTATTCGCCGTCCTCTTGAGGGTCGTTATACAGAATGACAGCGGCTGCCCCGTACTGTTCGGCTGCTCTAACTTTGAGGCCTCTAAAGACCTTGGCATACTTGCATATGACGATTTTGCCTTTCACGGAGATCCCATGCGACTTCGGCAGCTCAAAGTCTTTCAACTCGCCGAAGTTCGCATACACCAATTCGGCGCAGATTTCGCCGTTTGCGCTGAAGCCATGAAAGGCGGGTAAACCATTTCGAGGAGACGACGTTGGATCCTCTGACACCTCGTCCTCTGTCAGGGATGCCTCGAAACCTATCTGTCCATCCGGTGCAAGGAGATGCAGAGCTTGAGACTTTGGAAAGTTTTGCAGGACCTGGTATTCTTCCAATGCGGCCGGGATACCGTACGAAATCCATAGATCCCGTATGCGTTCTGCGTGGGCTAGGTCCCCGGCTAGGTGGGGTTCTGCGCTGTACAATTTTGACCAATGGCGAAGTTTCGTAGTGTCAGGCGATTGAAGCATGAGCTTCTCAGCTTCATGTTGTGGTACCTTGATCTCCATGAGCTACCATACTATCTTAGTCGTTTAGTCGTATGGGAGTTGGAATGCTAGATTGAGGTTGCTGCTGCGGCTGTCAATGTCTTCTCAATGAACGCGGTTGCTGGACTGGATGTTAACTTTGACCAAAAGCGAAGCAGAATTGGTGGGGGTTTTGTGCCAATCCACTACTAGTGCCATCGTTCAGTCCCTGACCGATTGCGGGGATACCGGGTTTTGGAGACCCTAACAATGATAAGAACAACATTGGCTTCCTAGTTTGGGTGGAAGCCAAATCTTATGTGATGAGATGAGGTGATGGTTTGTTATCCCCTGAGAAGGGGCCTGAAGTGAAATATGCTCCTGCAACCTATATTGCTGCCACGACACTACTCAGCTTCGTGTTGCAAAAAACGGCTTGAATTTCTACGGTGCATCCTGATCGCTGATGGTCACTTGCAGCATAACGCAGGACCAGAGACAGACTGCATAAGATGCCTATTTTCAGAATAGTGCAGTAGCCATTTGATATACTCAATTTCAACCACAGATATCGACGATCAGACGCATGAACATTCTGATGCAGTCAAGATAGTCCGGAATGTCTACTTTCTCATCCGGCCGGGTGTTGTACTTCCCTCCAGGACCACAGACAATACCTTCCATCCCCAAAGTTTTGAACAGGTGGCCAGCGTCGGATCCATAGAAGCAAGTCGGCGCAAGAACCCCTGTTGGCTGCTCGTAGTTGCGAACCTGGCGATAGGCCTTGTTCAGGGCTCTCACTATCTGTGAGTCTCTTGGCACCTCAAATGCCGGCATTGTAGGCTCAAATCGCTGCTTGACAGTAGCCGACATACCAGCATAATTACCAACTACCGTGTCCACTAATTCGCGAATATCAGCCATGACACCTTCTTGTGTCTGGCCAGGAGCGTAGCGCGCACTTCCAGCAAGCTTGCATACGTCCGCTACTTGGGCAGGTCTCCATTCAACCAAGTCTTTCCCAAGGGCACCATGAACCACGCCCACTGAACATCTGTTGCACTTTTCATGCTCACTGCTCTTGGCTCCACGGAATTTCATACGTGCCATCTGGGGAATCAGCTCACATGCCGCCAGGATCGCATCGGATGCCTCCTCCTTGGCTGACATGTGTCGAGTGACTCCAACAATCTCAATCTCGAAGACTAGAGCTTCCGCGTGCATTGTGACTGCTTGTATATCCGACGGTTCGCAGTTAACAAAACAATCGGCATTGATCTTTCCTTGATCAACGAGGGCCATCGTACCAACGCCTCCCTGAAGCTCACCAACCACATAGGTCAGGACAACGTTGCCTCTGGGCCGCCAGCCAGCCTTAAGCAGCGCTTCAACGGCGCAAAAGTACGCGGCACAGCCAGATTTCATGTTGCTGACTCCAATGCCGTAGATAAACTCGTTATCAATCTTTCCCTCCCAAGGATCGATCGTCCAACCTTCGGAGACAGGGTTTGTGTCTAGATGTCCATTGAAGAGTAGTGTTTTGGGGGCTTTGTTGCTCGCTGCTGACACTGAATGGTGGCCCTTCCAGATCCCTATCGCATTTTGACGGCGGCCGTTGTCGAACGGGCAAATAGCCGACTCCAGTCCAATCTTTCTCATTTGCTCGGCCATGAAATCCGTTGCCTCTAGCTCACCATCGGTCTGCGAGTAGCTCTTGATTTGAATGAGCCTTGACAAGAAGGCAAGGCAGTGAGCCTGGTCAATGTCTGGGATCTGCATGATCTGGCAATATGTTTGTGGTTTCGAATTGTATTTGCTTGAAGACGGATGACTGATTTACTGATAGGCCCTGAGCTTCGGCAAGCGTTGCATCTAACACAGAAAGTCAATGGCGATCGGCAGCGTAAAGAGTGGCGACCACGTTTCGGATGTTCCCCGACTTACTGGACTTATCCTTTACTGAGGACCGGAGGATTGGAATGGGCGCCGGGAATCACTCGGAAGCAGGTCGGTGTGCTTGTCCGATCCATGGGTCAAGTTTGGATGGTGCGAAATAGCCGGAGTCTTATCGGCCGCTCGGGCTTCCCCGGCGATCCACATAGAAACGAGGCAAGTGGGGGACGTTGATACAACCCCTGCATGCTAAGCTTTTGAGCGGAAAGCCGGGTCCACTGTCTTTGTCTTGGAGATCTTGTCCTTGTCGAAGGCGGGGACGCGATACAAAACCACTCAAGAAGTTTTCCGAGCCGTCGGGATAACAAGATCGGAGCGGTTGCCCGCCGGCAAAGGAAGCCACATCTTATCAGCTACTCCAAGACTCAAAGCTCATGTCCGGCTGACCGGCACGTTTCCACCGCAGGGGAGAAGGAGATAAATGTTTTTCCATTGATTGATAGGTCATCAGTGGCTACCTATATGTACTTGTTGTGGAGACATTAATTCAAGCTTACTCGAAGGTGCCACAATTGATAGCGAAGTCGGCTTTTAGAGGCCGAGCCAGTGCATTTACCATTCTCAAATGTTTGGATGCAGCACGATTATCCATGATTACGGCGATGCTGCTCTCGACAAGCGTGTTTCTAGCGGAGATAATAGAACACCGAGCCGGATATCGCAAAGAAAGGCCACATAGCTTGTTTTTCATTCTCAAGATTCGTCCCGGAAAATGAGCGACAACATTGAAACATCACCGGCAGCGGCTGACACTGCCAGCGGCCATGAGGTCGCTCTCAAAGGGCAAGTCGCTGATGAAGGCTATGATATTTTTGAGGAAGGCATCGCGCAGTCCGTGCCGCAGGATGTTGCCAATGCTGTCAGGCGCAAGATTGATCGCCATCTTTTAGCATTGATGTGCTTGCTGTATGGCCTCAACTATGTCGACAAGGTTGCAATGGGATGGGCAGTATTGTTCGACTTCCGCAAAGACCTTGGTCTGGTGGGAGATGAATATTCATGGGCCAGCTCCATGTTTTACTTGTTAGTGATGACGACCAAATCTGTGGATTCAAGAGTAAACTGACCATCTGCAGCGGATACCTTGCCGCGCAATACCCTGCCAACTATATACTTCAGAGATATAAGACAGTCCGGATTCTCAGCTCTGCCGTGATTATTTGGGGTGTGCTAATGCTTGCGTGAGAATACAGCCCTCCTCAAACATTCATTGTCGTATAACTGACTATCGGAAAGCCATCTTGGCCTGCGAAACTTTGCCGGACTGATGGTAGTCCGCTTCCTCCTCGGTGTAGCTGAATCGGTTGTAACTCCTGGCATTCTGCTGTATACTTCTATCTGGTACACCCGAAAGGAACAGGTCTTGCGTACGATGCTGTGGGCTGCTATGCAAGGGGCATTTTCCATTGTTTGCAGCTTGTTGTCTTTCGGCCTGGGTCATATTACCAACACCGCCTTGAGGCCTTGGATGTACATCTTCCTAGTCTTGGGCATTCTCAGCATCTTGGTAGGCGTCCTCTGGATCATTTTTATGCCGGAGACCCCCAACAAGGCCAAGTTTCTCACACACGAGGAGCAAGTCATTGCCGTACAGCGTGTTGCGCAAAACATGACCGGCATCAAAGGGTATGAATGGAAGCACTACCAAATGTGGCATGCAGTAATCGATGTCAAGACTTGGCTGGTACTGGTATTTGTTCTCTTCACTCAACTCCCTAATGGCGGTCTCACATCATTCGGAAGCCTGGTTATCTCAGGGTTCGGCTTTGACGCGTTCCGAACACTGCTCATTGGCCTTCCTTCATCCGTTGTCAGTGCGGGGAGCATGATTGTTTGGGGAACCATTTCAATTAAGTATGGAAATCTCCGAACATGGGGCATGATTATACCTCTGCTGCCTGCGATTGCAGGAATCGCGGCTGTCTATGCTACTATGGATACGGGGGCAAACAAGTACGGGCGGGTAGTTGCATACTGGCTGATCAACTCGTATGCTGTAACAGTGAGTCACTGAGCCCTCTTGCAAGCGAAAAACCTCTTACTAACCTGTTTTCACAAGTGGCCATTTGTCTTGACTATTGTCGGTCAAAATGTCGCAGGCCATACCAAGCGGGCATTTACTAACACCATGCTCCTAATGGTCTTCGCTGCTGGAAATATCGCTGGTCCATTCTTTTTCCGCAGTCAAGACGCCCCAAAGTACGTTCTTGCTATTGCGGTAGTTTTGGTCTGTTTCTGCGCGGCACTTTTGACTGCGATCGTCTTACGATTGTACATGGCTTGGCAAAATAGGCGCCGGGATAGCAAGTACGGTAACGTTGATGGGGTCGAGGAGAAGGTTGACGGGATGAGGCTTGGAATGCACGACAAGACAGACTTGGAGAATTTGGATTTCAGATACGTTCTCTGAGATTCGATGGCACGACTAGTAACTTCAGCCACAAAAACAGAGAGGCGTCGATAGTTTCATCTCCCCTCTCAGGCTTCAAAGGTGAGGGCGGAGATTTAACTGAACTGTTGCGCCGGCATGGTGCGAGCTTGAATGACCTGGATTTGGGAAACATCAATCTAGTCCAGAGCGAGAGCAATTGGTCAGATGTCGTTCAAGTTGTGCGAGACGAACTGAGCGATTGCAAACTTCAGATAACGGACTGTGAATTCGAAGGCCAATATCTAGAGATCCCCGACTATTCCTGCGCTGATTCCTCTTCTTTTATTTCTTCCTTGCAAGCAATCCCCCGTGAAGAACTCACCGAGCTTCATGGCAAGTTAGTCAATTTGGAGATTTGAGGGAACCCGATCAATTCCAAGTAGAAGTTGGATAGAGTGTGTATATAAGACTTTTCAACGGTTCGGAACACTGCATAGTAGAGATGACTGTCGCTGTCCAGGGATGTTTCATTTCGTCTGTGAATACAGTCTGCCAATGCACTTACTCATCAAACTCGTGAGAAATTTCCAAGAACTTCGGAAATATAGGCTGTGGAGGTGGTTCTGATCGTCGTTCGTAATCCTCCATCGTTGAATACAGACCACTATACGCTTTGATGGGTACTCCTTGTCTCGCTTCATCAGCGGTAGTGATCGATTGCTGCTATTTGGCCATCTGAGAATGCATTTGAAAATTGAACAGATTATTCTCAGGCATGCTCCAGCCATGCTAGTCTTCGCTTTGTTGATCAGGATCATTGAAGATCTCTTTGGTCAGTGCCAATTCATCATGACCCCTATAGAGCTCCTTGGTCGAGCGTAGATAATCCTTGCTCTATTCGCTTTTTTTAAGGAATTCAAGACCCTCTTCCTTCGCCCGCAGTTCAATCGTCTCCTTGAAGAACTCGCTGTAAGAATGATGTGCGGCCTCCCACTGTTCCTATGTTGGCCTCATCCCGTCAAAAAGCTCAAGAAAAAGATATTGGTACCTTAGTCTCCAGCTATACATGCGAGTATGACCTGGTGTTTTAGGTCAGGTCGGCGCCATGCCAGCTCGCGCAAGGTGTCCGAATGTGGGCAGTGAGGCCACCAGAATAGCTCCGGAAGCATTTCGCCGTCGATTTCGCTATCAATGCGGGATAGATCGTCGTTCATGATGAACCGCGCATGGCATGCCTGCCTGATAAGTCTGTTTTCATACTGGCGTGGGAAAAGTTCGTCAACGCATGATTCGAGCCATCGCGCAAATAGTGTGTGATGGTGGGCACCGCGAACAACGGCCATGATCTTATTCGGAACTGCAATTGGCCGTCTGAGGCGAAAGTAACGCTCAATATTGCCGTCCCAGGCAGCCATGAGAATCAAAATGTCCTTGTTGATAGGAGGCGAATCTTCTGGGAGTGGGGTGTGAAGCAGAGCGATGTACTCGCCTTGTAACTTTAAGAGACAAGGCCCCGGCGAAGGACAACCGCTGATGTTGGAGCCCTCTTGAATATTGAAGTAGTGAGAGGGCCATTTTTCTGAGTTGGGATTCCTCTCGGGGGGGGGAGGGGGGGGCCTCCGATAAATGTCAAAGGTCGATGAAGTTCCAAGGAGGATCGAACAGCGGTATCCCCATTGAGATAAGCTCCTGGTCGTGGATTTTGCAAATCAACAGATCGTTGGTAATCGTTCATGACAGCATATCTCACAGATTGGCTCATGATATGCTCGAAAATATCGAGTTTGCCGTTATCGCGAGCTTCCTCGGCAATGGAGACATCCGGTAGCAGGTCTAATTCGTTGTATAGCTCCCCATATCCTGCGACGGCGCAAGCTCGTCCAATGTGATAACGCATCTCTAGGTAGTGGTAATAAAGCTTTCGATAGGTCTCCTCGGTAGCAACATCAGGATACCAAATGCAATAAGGTACCACTGCCTGGTACGCCATGTCTGGAATCATGTTGCTGATGATGAGACGTGCGTTGCGGGCCCCGGCGTACCTATCATATATCTTGCAGATATGATTCGGCGAAACTTTCGTAGTGTCGGATGCCGTGAACGAGGAAATCATTGCTGTCGCCCCATTCCCAAACTCGCAGTGTCTCGCCAGGACCTATGACTCCGTTACAGAGACGTTTGTCTTGACTTATCTTGCTAAAATCAGGACCCGAGCGCCTTCGTAAGCAGCTTCATGTCAAGGCTCGAGAACACCTGAGCCATGATCGACGCAGCAGCAGAGGTGCGATGACGGGTCTCCTTAGTCGCGGTTGAGCGTTGAAAAGTGGCTGCATTGAGAGGGAGACCATCATTGAGTAGTCGTGAGGACTAGAATCTTGTTCGGCTTCGTGGTGTTTGAATATCTGCGAAGAGAGGAGGGAAGTCTGAACCCTCGTGTCGCGTTTTCTCGTACATTGAGTAAGAAAAGAACACGCGACAGGTTTTACCCAACAAAATATTCGTCTCGGTAGAGTCGGATATCGCGGCCTGGACGGGGTGCTGTGCCGCAGGTCTAACTTCAAAACGAAAAAGCCCAGCGCCCTACTCGGATAGGCCCCCTCAATTAGGCACGTCGTATGAACCTGGCCAGATATTCCAGGAGTCAAGAATTTGTGCATCCGGTTGTACCACGATGCGAGAAGTAAACCCCTGTCAAAATGCTACGTAAAGCTCCGCCTCTAAGGCTCGACGAAGAGGAAAGAATACAAAGTCCCACTGCCAATACTCAAACGCAAGTGATGCAGAGGGTAAGAACTCTCGACTATCGCCGATGACCCCGACTGCCTTTATGACAGTTGCGATACCATGAACATTTCTCGTAAAATGACACGGCAGTCTACCCTTCTAATGCCAGCGGGATGTGCCAAGATAATATAGACATGACTGAGTTTTGTCTTATCCTGGGCTAGCATTCGACGGGTAACAAACCGACTTTCGTATCATATATGACGCATCGCTTCACTTAAGATTCTTCAGTAATTTGTGAACAAGGCTTTGAAAGGTGAATATGTAACCCTGAGCATGCCGGACTCCGCGATGGATGAGATTCACGACCTGCCCATGGCCTCAGCCCTTTATAGCCCAGGCCGTACAAAGTTCGTCAGCACACTGCTGGATCCCACCAAGGTTTTAGATCATCATTGGTATGCTGTTCCATCCGTGTGGCACTGCTACAAAGGTAAGTCATAAAAAACCTCAATAGTTGTTGGAAAGCTGCACCGCAGCCTTTAACATATCAGCAAGGATGAAGATGCTAGTCATCGAGGTTCCAGGTTGAGGCTGAAGCAGGTGGATATCTAGGCCGCCGCCAGACTTTCAGGAGCGAGTTGGACCAAATTCAGCCAAGACATGGGAACGGAACTGTTAAGCAAGACAATGGTCTTTTTAGTCATCCGCAACTGAAGGTATATAGGTACAGGAAGCACGGAGAGACACGTTCGTGTTTGGCGTCAACATCGGCTCCAACTCCAAATATACACAGCATATGTAACGTGTAATCATAACGGTATATTCCGGCCAATTCCAATGCACAAATTTTCCCAGTAATGACTCCCAGGCTGCGACTTCGACATCTGAAAACACAACAGAGCTCGCCTGCGGCCGTGACTTCTTGGATCTTCATAATTCCGAGCAGGCTGGCATCAGATGATGCGTGGGCATTGTGGCCATATAGCACTTGCTATGACCACCGAAAACCCTAGTCAGCCATCTCCGTGGCACGGGTGACTGTTTTCCTCATGACTCATCCTGCTGAAGTAAAGGTTCGACACTGCCTAAGGAGACATAGGCGACCAAGTGTAGCCTTGTGAGAAAAGTAGAATACCCTGGAATGCAAAGCAGAAGGGCTCATCTCATACATCGCTTACTCACAGCATCACCGTGAGTTGAGCTTATGGTTCGGCTAGACGAGTGAAAGCTGCCATTGATATTGACCATTAATCCAGGTGCAGGACCAGCTCTTAGACTTTCATGCAATGATGCTCAGACGCATATCAAGGCTTGTAGGCGGCAGGTCAACAGCCTTACAATCTTTGCAGGGCATCTCAAAATCACTGCGTGTATGTTTTCGATAGTCTAGGTTCAATAGCCGCGTTCCCATTGGGCGGTAGATGACTTGTACGGAGAGAAAACGGCAGTGCCCATATCGCTACCGCGGCCGACACGAGCACGGGCAGACCAAGCAACCCATCCTCTCGAATTTGGAGGAACGAAGCCAAGATATGATTGGGCAGGTTAACCATCAGGGCGGACCGCCTTGAGCCGCTAATCTCCGGGGGTTACATTGACCTGCTGGATCGGGCCAAAATCCCCCGCGAGTGATGGCCCTTCCGCTCCCGGGACTCAAAGGTCAAGACCCTGCTCTGTCCGAACCCAGGATCTCTAACGTTTCTACGGATACAAAGAATCAGCGAAAAATATTAAGTAGCCGGGTCCCGGATCCACAATCCACTTTTCAAGGTTGTACCGGTGTGATTGATCCGTACAGACGAGTGGGAACCAAGCGAATCATCCATCTCCAAAGAGCCGAAGACTCCAAGCACAAGCTCCCTGCTTGAGTCGTGTCTTGGTCTTCTGCAAAAGGACCTTGCCAAGATTTGTAAGGCACTTAATGAGTCCACCGGCGCAGAAAGAATATCTGCGCAGAGCAATCTGAACTGACCAATCCTAGGGTGCGATTTGAACTGTTGCTGCCCATGGTCGAGGGTGGAAGGCAGATGGTTTTTGCAGCACTGGATCGATGGGTCCTTCATCACAAGAAAGTTAAGTGTAAGTGGCTTCTCTGATTGCCAGCTTCCCTGTTCAGCTCACTCTTAGATTCCTCAATTTGTACTGACTGGCATCAACTTGCCAAGCTCCAATGAGCTTATCTCCCAACCTGTCGAGCGAGTGCGCTCGCGCCTGCTCCTGGATACGAAGCGGAGGCAGGACATCGACGGAGAGAGAGGACCACCATGAAGCAAGCTGCAGGCTGCAGGCCACGAGGCGGGGATGCCAAGTCCAACCCCAGGACCCCAGTGACCAACGTCTTCGCGGTCATCATTGTGCAGCAGCCGTATGCTTACAGCATGGTTCGGGCGAAGCAGGGCAGACGAGAATGAGAATGACCCCTTGGCACTTCTGTCATATATGATGCCAGTGCCAATCACCCTCATGGACGACGCAACTCGACGTTCTTGACCTTCCCCTGCTCCTCATCGACGGCCATCCTTCACCTAGAGCCCGCTTGCTCGTGTTGAACGACATCATCATGAAGACCACACAGGCCTGCGCTCTCCTATCGCTCGCCCTTCTGGGTGAAGCCTGTCTTCTCCCCGGAGAAGCCTCCGGCGGCCGCATTGCCCGCCGCCAAAACGCGAGCCCCAACAACACGGGTATCGCCATCGGCACAGGCGACCGCTTTGACGGCGGCAAGAAAGTCCCCCGTGGTCTCGGCACCCAGCCCGTCGGTACGAATCTCACCTCCCTCCTCAACGTCAACGAGATCAAGAGCGCCGTCAAGGGCCTCGTCCAGGAGTATGACCTTGAGTACTTTGAGTCGCCGTTCAAGACGTATGAGAATGCCTCTTTCTTCGGTGCCAAGATCGGTGGCGAAGGCGGGAACTGCAGCGATGCGCACCACGTGTACTTCAACGCCGCCATTCATGCCCGCGAGCGCGGCTCATCGGATAACATCATTTACTTCATCTCCGACCTCCTATACGCGAACAAGCACGGCGAAGGCTTGACGTATGGCGGTCGGGTGTACACCAATGACGACGTAAAGCGTGCCCTGTCAACCGGTATTGTCTTCACGCCGTTGAGCAACCCTGACGGCGTGGCATATGACCAAGCCACACACAGCTGCTGGCGTAAGAATCGCAACCCGGCCGCCTCGGGGGGCAATCCGGAGGCCATTGGCATCGACCTGAACCGCAATTTCGACTTTCTCTTTGACTTCCCCAAGAGTTTCGCGCCCAGCGTCGGGCCCAACGTGGCTTCGGAAGACCCGACTGAACAGACTTACCACGGCGCTGCGGCGTTCTCGGAACCCGAGTCAAAAAGCATCAAGTGGGTGATGGACCAGCACAAAAACGTCAAGTGGTTCCTCGACATCCATAGCTACATCGGCGTTGTCCTGTACAACTGGGGCAGCGACGAGAACCAGTTGCGCCAGCCGTATATGAACTTCATGAACGAGTCGTACGATGCCGTCCGCGGTCTGATGCCGGATACGCCGTCCAACAATGGCGTTTACGGCGAGTACATCCCCAGCAACGACTGGTCGGAGAAGGTCTTCGCTGCAATGCGGATGGGTAACGCCATGGACGCCGCCACCGGCCGCCACTACCAGGTTGAGCAGAGCTCATACCTGTACCCAACTTCGGGTTCAAGTGATGACTACGCCTACTCGCGTCACTTGACGGACCCCTCGCTCGGTAAGATGCACGGATTCGTGGTTGAATTTGGCTTTGGTAATGATGAGGTGGACTGCCCCTTCTACCCAACGCCCAGCCAGTACAACTTGAACCTGCTAGAGACAAATGCTGGCTTCATGGAGTACCTACTCGCCGCGGCTGATCTTGGCGTTGGCGAACCGGCTTCCTGTGCAGCATGAGTACACCGGCTTTGCGGAAATGTAAGAGGGAGGGGGAAATTAGCGGCGTGGACTCCCACTTTGACTCTATGGTGGACAAGATGTTGACCATCATCCGGAGACGGACAGAGTCCCGGAGCACATTCCGAGACATTTGTCAGGATGACGAATTTGTTGATTAGAAATACACAAACGTCCTGAAAATGAGCCTCTACAAAATAATAAGTAAATCTTGTCGAATCCCTGTGTGTCGGTTAAACGCCGAAGAATCTCTCGACATCGCATTTCTCATAATTCTAGTCTACTGATATCGGACACTTACTCTGCCCTTGACCGCATCGACGATTCAGGCACCTAACCTTCGATTCTGGCTAGAATACCGAGAAAGA